TATGTGTAAGACTCTGGAACTCTTTCATCTTATACTTCAAAAGTGACCTCTAACATAAAAGTTAACTTCTGGAACTCTATTTAGATTTACATGATAGAAATTTTGTTTCCCTGAGTATTAGTTTGACAGTGGTGACAATAAACCCACGGTCACCCATGTGATAAAGAAGACTTACCCTTTTCAACTTGGCAGCAGCCTCTCCTGAACGGATTGCAGTCAGCAAACTCTGTCTCATCTGTTCTGGGTCAGAGCTTTGGAATGGTAAAGAACTTTGTCTCATAAGAGTGAATGATGGGCGATCAGTTGGAGTTGGTATTTGAGAATTCTGTTCATTATGTGCAGAGTTATTTTCCTACAAAAATAAATGTGAAATATTTATATGAATACCAAGAAAAGAATGGGCCATTTTTTTTTGCTAAACATTTTCATCATCAGTAGTTCTTTTAACAATCACCATTTGCCATACTGGTGTTTCAGACACAGTTCTGTTTCCTCACCCACTGAATTATCTCTGCTGCCAGGGCTAAGCTGAAGATGAGGGTATTATTTTCTTTTGAACTCAGGAAGCCAAAGAAGAAAGGTGGCACCTCTCTTTGCTTCATATAGTGGTAGTTTTATTGTGCTTGAGTTAAATACTGCTGACTTCACCAATACACAAAATTGGCTAGAAAAGCCAAATTAAGATTTTTTAAAATTCTACAAACTAGAAAATGACCCATTATCTTGGTTTCAACATTCTAGACTGTGAAATTATTATTTTTAAATGAACAAGACAGTCAAATAGACAATGTCATATTTGTGGAATCTAATATCTCTTCTAATAAAGGAATACAAATTACTATGCTACACTTAGTAGCTTATTTTGTGTTTCTGGAAGTCACAGGGACTAAGTGCTAACCATGTTTTATTTCTGGAATGAAAATCAATATATAAAAATTAGGAACATCCAAACTGAAGAATCAAAAATTTAATTAAGCTTCTCAGGAAGGAATATTTAGTAACTGACGTAAGTGGCATATGTTATCAAGTAATCTTAAATGTCTTTTTCAGCCTGCCAAATACATAACTTTACCAAAAAATGAGCTAAATGGGGCTCAGGCAATGACTCAAAAGTTTTTACTATCTAAACCAGGCTTCCATTGTTTAGGAATGTTATTCTATTCCAAGAAAAGTTACAGGCTTTGTACTCAAGTAAATAATTAATCTCTATATCATACTTCTATTCCTGATACTATACCAAAGTAATAAACGTAAATGTAAAAATACATGAACAAATATTCCCTAAGATAAATATTGTTATGCAATTATGGAAAAATATTTATTTGGAAATATGGTTAACATTCTTTTGCTTTAGGAATGTTTGAAAAAGTAATATTCAATACTTCTGGAACTGTCACACAAATATGAACGTACTCTTCAAACACTAACAGAGTAAGAGTACACACAGTATTTCTTTAAAATTGCATGAGGATTATCATAAATCATGCTGTGAATATCATCTTCTCTTTTGACTCTATTATCTGAAGCTAGCAAAATACAACATTTAGTTGACCAAACACTAAGTCAACAACACTCCTTTTTGGTAAATATTTAAGGTTAGATAGTGGCTAGATAACATTTTGGTCAACATACATATTATAGTTCAAAGTTGATAGTGAATTAACAAAATGGAGAATTAAGAAAATTACATATTAAAAGTCTGCTTTCAATTTATTTATATGTGAAAATGTACAATATATGCAAGCTGGCATTGAGTGTATATGATGGAAACCACATAGCTGAGAGATGCTTAGTTATTTTGTCTAGTCTCTGATACTGTTATCTTTCCATTTCCTTAAGACTATTTCTTTTGCTATTATATAGTAATATAAAACTGGAGAATAAACCAGAGGACTTAGACAAGTTAAAAACAAATTAAGATAACACAGAAATATAGAACCATAAACTAGTAAGTATATCACAGAAATGAATGAGCAAAGAAACTTTAAAACATTTGCTAATGACACTATTATATGATGACCTTATAGCAATGCCTCAACAAGTTATGTAAGTTATAACTGTGAGTGAAATCAGATTTTGTGTATTACCACGCTCTTCACTACAATAGCTTAATTTCAGATTAATATGAGTTCGGAGTTAAGTAGCACACAAACATATCAAAATGCTTGTTAACCCCCATTAAACCATGTTGTTAAATTTGAATACTTATATTTAAAAAGGTTACATTTACCTTATCAGTCACACCAAGTTGTGGGATGTCCACAAATTTATTTACAGAATGAGTCTTCCCTTCCTCTGTGTTAGCTGGAGGTTGAACCGATGCACTGGCACTAGATGACTCAGTACGTTCTTTACTGAAAGACTGTGACCTTTTCACTACAGCGAGAGCAAACGGTGAAGGACCAGAGCTTGAGTATGGTCGTGGGGCACCAAAAGTTTTCAGAGTCTTCAGGTTTTGTGCGGATACCTGACTAGCAGGAATTGTCACAGGTTTCGGAGCTATGGGAGGAGGAGAGGCTTCATCAGGCTTCTGACTGATGACATCATCAGTTTTTTCAACAAGGGGTTGTGGAATAGAGTGAGCTGTTTTACTTAAGGGAGAAATAGTTTGCTCCGGAGAAGGCAGCATATTCCTTTCTGCCTCTTTATTTATCAGTTCTTTTGGAGCAGGATTAGGGGCAGCATGGACACTCTTGGCAGCTGCAGAGGTCACATAGTGACCAGATACTCTCTTCTGCATCTGCAAGAAAAAGGAACTGGGTTTGGCCTGGGGATTTGAAGCTCGAGATTTAAATTTTGATTCCAAAATATTGTTTATGTCTTCCAAATTTGGTGCAAAAGGAGCAGTGCCAGTGTCTCTTGTCATTTTGGGAGTAGGTTTCAGAGGACTAACCATGGCACCAACAGGTGAGCTCATAGAACTGTGTACCTGATGCTCTGTTCTCAGGTTTGGCTTCGGTTTAAGGTCTGGCAGTGGCCCTTTTGAGCCTTCAGAAATAGCAGAATCTTCTGTTTGGATGGCAGTTTCTTTCACATTCTCATGAGTGTGCTTTTTCCCTAAATTATGTATGTCCTGATCATCTTTATACCCTATGGCTTCTGATTGCCAGTCTTTCGATATTTCCAAGGATTTGGGAGGCACTATTTTATAAGTAGTCATTCCAATTTTGGGTATATACTCTCGTGTAATTTCATTTGAAGGTTTTGGCTTGGGGTTGTAGTCCTGTCTATAAAGTGGATAATTCTTTAGGTAAGAAGCAGTTGAATATTTATCAATCCTATCAATAGAAGGCAAAAGATCATCATTACCATGTGCACAAATTGGATCTTTTATGGTAAACGGATCTTCTGAATGTATAATTAGGGTGCCTTGGCTCCTGAATTCCCTTGAGGTATCTACAGAATCTTGTGAACTTAAGGATGAGTGTTGAGTTGATATGTTATTTGAAGTTTGCACACTTTCTTCAACTTTGGAGTCAGACAAATTATGATCTTGGTGTTTCCCATCAAAACTGTTACAAGAAGGGGTTGTTTGAATTGCCACATCTTGCATTTTTGTCTTTTCTGCACTGGGTTGATTCAGTTTTTGATCTGGTACTGATGAAGCTGCTAGATGGTTTTCCTTGTAACTTATAGAAGTATCAGTTTCATGTGCCTGAAAGTTTGATGGTCCCTCCACTTCCATATCAATGTCGTTATTTTTGGCAACACCTCCTACGCTGATTTCTGTTTTCTTCACTTCATTTTTCATATTTTCTTCTGTGTTCTTTGGAAAGACAATTATTTCATTTTGAACTATTGAGAGAAAAAAAGATCAAGTTAAATATATGAAAAAAGTAGAAAACCTCAAGTTTTTAATGCCTACTTTATCCAACCTGAAATAGTTAAAATTCTACAGATAATTTTCAATTCACTGAGTTTATAAAGGCAGGTAGTAATATACAGAGAAAACAATAGGAGCTTTAGATTCATATGGAGTGAAGTTTGGAACCCTTGGCTTAACTAGTGTGGCCACAATATGTTAATTATCCCCTTTGAGCCTTTTTGCTCAGACATAAAAAGGTGAAAATGTTTGTTGTATTATGTATGTATCATTTAGATAGCATGCTTACTAGTATATTGACCAGAATAAATACTCCATAGAAGGTAGCTGTGCTTCTTTTTAGAAGTAAAAAAATATTTCATTGTTCATGACAAAAAATAGAAACTGACAAATTCAAAAATTGTATTTTTTCTCTTTTGTTTTCTATTTTGACTGTCTTTTCTATAGCCCCTAGCATATTTATATTTTCATACCTAACATTAAAAAGAAAAAAATCCCAGCAAATGTAGTCAGTTTTAATGAAGGCCTATAATAGAAAACATTAACTTCAAGATTTACAGTAAAAACAGAATCTCAGTTGATTCTCTTGTTAATTAGATATCCTTGCTGAAGACTGTTAGAGGACTTTGCTTTTAGTTATAACATGGGTGATTTCAATGACATGAAATCAGTCTTATTGGCTTAGATTTTTCTCTGCTGGAAATAGGCATCATTATTCTAGAGTCAGAATCAAAATCAAAGTAAAGAAAATAACCTTGCTCTTCTTTGCACTACTTATCCTCTTGATTCTAATTCAGACCTCTTGAAAACAGAAATCATTTGCCAGTGTCTAGGTTAACAGAGCAACAGCTTCCAGTCAACAACATGATGGCAAAGCAGTCAACGACATGATGGCAAAGTTTCCTTCTGCAGGAGGCATGCAGAAGGAAACACAGGCTTTGGCGTCTGCACCACGTGCCTAGGACTGAATTAAGTTATTCCTGTGCTCCTCTGTTCAAATTCCCTAAAGAATCATGCCTCCTGCACGACCACTGTGCTTATCTTCAAAACCCTACCGGCCTTTTCAGATATGGCAATAATTTGCACAGCACAGTTAAATGTAAGCCTTGGGAGTCAAATCGTGAAAGTATGTCAAGTGTTTCTCTATAGTTTTATCATTACCCACTTTTACCTATAGGGATGAGATGAAGCACACTGCCTGAAATGTAAAGAGTTACACTGTATAATTCATCTTTTAAAAAAAGAAAAAGAAAAAGAGATATCCATGAAGAAAAATATCACGTCAGGTAAATTTGTATACAAACAATTTTTTAGAATATCTTCACATTTTTAAACTCTGCCTGACTGCATAGTTATTTGGTTGTGGCAGTTAATTAATATTCCATATTGTGTTGTAAGGTTCCTATATTAAACATGTAATTTTAAAATGCAACTCATTTTTATTCTTTCCAGATAAAAATGCAACTGAGTATCAGAATATGTATCATCTACCTAGCTGAATTCTTTACTCAATGAGCAATTATTGTTAACCCTTTTGATTTACAAGATTAAAGACTCGTGCTCTTAGGAACTATAAAAGAGGCATATTTCTGCCTCTGCTCTCAATTTACTTGATTAATAAGCATTTTTCAATGTTTATATATGAAAACGCTATTCTGAACACTGTTATGAGCATGGAAGAATTTAAGAAACAGTTCCTGGCAGCAGGAAATAAGTCTAAATCTATTTCCTTCTTTATTTCTAATTTTCCACTGAATATATGTATTTCCCAATTCACACAACACAAACATTTTCCAAAAGAAAAGTTAATCTTTGTAAACATTTATTTAAATTAAACCCCTTTCTGAAACCCTAATTTATTGGTTTTAGAATTATAAGTCTGTGTTTTTCGTATTTTTGGTGGGTTATACCTACTTTACTGTTGTCTAACTCTGAATTTCTTCTCAACATTTCATGATTATTTCCAATGATTGGCAGTCCTGGAAACCCAGAATCTATCCTCATATACAACTGACAATGATGTTAACCAAGTGTTTATGAATGGCTAGATCATTTTCCAAGGATGGCCAGCAGAGGGAGAAGGTATCTTTTATACTATAGTGACCCTCTACTCAAAACTGACCCTGACATTGACAACCTTACAAGACGGTGATTTAGATAAGAATAGGCAAAAAGGAAAACAGAATAAAGCTACTTTAAGAATAATAGACAATAGTTAACGTTAAAAAAACAACTAGAGTTGACAAACGTCTTAGCCAAACAAACCATGTGCAAATCAAAATACTATGTATATATACTTGTGACTTTGGCACTAATTTGACCACAAAAATCTTAGCAAAATGATTCAACTTGACTGTTGTTTTAAAGAGAAAGAAGTGGCTTTTAAATCATAATTTCTCAATAGAAATGCTATTGCCATCATAGTACATGCTGTGAAAAACTTACTCAAGAGGAAGAGAATGAAGAAATTATTTGCTTTTAGACCTTCTCAATATATCTCACAATGGTATTGAATGTGAGAGAAAATGAATCAGAAGCATACATATTCAAGTTAATGAACACATACCACACACATAAAATTATATATATATATATATATATATATATGTATATAATATTTATATATGGCATTGGGATTATCTATGTCTTATTCAAATATGAATACTATATTCCTATGTTTTCTGAATATCTTAAGCTAGTTTTGTATACTAACATAAAAGATTAGACTGAGAATTCATAAGCCACTTCCTTCTTATCTCCTTAAAACACCTTTGTGCATTCCTTGAATTTTCTATGTGCATAGGATTGCTTTTCTGAAATTCAATACTAAGTAATATTTTATGAGTATCTCAGTATTCTGCTCAGTGCCATGAGCAATGCAAAGTATTTCTCGCATCCAAGACTGCCTGATTTAGTTGAGGAATCATAAATATAGAACCACAAACCTTCTAATAATCAATTAAAGAAAATAAAATGATATAATTTGGATAAAAACTGAATGGGTAAAATAGATGAAAAATTGTCTTCCAGGCAAAGACAACATGAATACAGGTCTTACGATATAGAAATGAGCAAATGACATTATGAGAAAAAATACGTTGTGTTGATTTGGGGATGGGAACTGGGAAACAGTGGTAAACAAAGTTATATCATTAGACGATTTGGGCCTTGAAAATCAGGAAGAAAACTTTCATTTAAGAAAGTTAGACAGAAAAAAAAAGGAGATCACAAATAGATATGCAGAGGAAACATTTCTAAGATCCAAAGTCTAAATTAGATAATTTCTATGTTTTAACCACAAAAGTAGTACACATGGTCTTAAGAGCACACTTTGGAGCAATATTGCCTGAGTTTAAACCCTAGTAGTTGTGAGACCTCAGGTGAATTATTTAACATCTCTGTGGCACAATCATCTGTAAAATGGGACTACAAATATTAGTACCCATAATATTCACAAATGAGGTAGGTATTAAATGAGTTACAGGAGATTAAATGAGTTAATATATACAAAAAGTGTTAGGTATTGTCCCTGGCATGTAATAAAGTGCTGGCTATTAATTTACATAACTCACCATTCTCTTGGTTTGGGCCCAATGACTTCAAGTTTCTTAGGCTGTCAACTACCTTCTTTTCATTGCTTGTATCATATGCTACACTGTGTGGTTCTCTGGAAGATATGACACAGTATGTTATATGCTGATACTATTGAAATGCACACACACAGAGTCACACACACACACACACGATGAGAAAACAGGCAATAATTTCCAAAGACAGATGGACTAAAATAATTATCTATTTCTGCCAAGCATCGGAAATTTAACAGCAGAGGAAAAATATAACTGAGAAGAAATGCTGCTATGAAACATTTGTTTTCATATGGTGGTCCCATTAAAAAGAAAGATGTAAGATGCTTGGTAAAATCGACACTTTTCCAAAATAGTGGCTTTATTTTGTTATTATCAGTGATTTGCCTTTTAAAGAAAAAGGAAATTAAATGAAACATTTTAGTTTTACATCTGGGAAGGTCAACTATATAAATCAGAATGCAGATTGACCTCACTGATCTTTTTTTCCCTTTGGTGATAGAACGGTTTAATAAGGAGACAATCTCATGCAAGTTATAGTAAACCTCTGACATATATGGTTTATTTTGCTTGGTTGATTTCACCTTAATCATGGTGTTGCATTTCAAACCTAAGTGGAATAAACTATAGCTGTCCATTTCTAGAATCACTCAGGTAGAAAGTATGTTCTCTGTTTCATAAAGTTGACTGCAAAGATAATACTCGTGATTTAACATCATGCTCTAATATGCAGAATTGTTTTCATATGCCAGTCAGTGAAAATCCTCCAGGAATACTTGGTAAATATTGAAAATTAGATATTACATTTAGGTCACAGAGATAATAGGCAAAACATACACAAACACAAACTTTCCATTTTTAATCACACAAATTAACTATTTCTCATGGTTTATCTCATGCATGGATATTAGAACTATCACATTTGAGTTTCTTTGAACATATTTACAGCAAACAAGTATTTCATTAATAAACATTTTCATAATGGTAAAAGGGATAAAGTCAAAACCAAAGGGCTGGCTGTATTTATGTTTAAAATATCAGATCTATGTTTCAGAAGACTAGTATTAGTTAAACAAACCGCCACCAACACTCCAGCACAGAGACTACTTACTCTCCATATGTGCTTCTAGTTTCTTGTTTTTCTTCCTTGGAGTTTTGTGAGAACTCTCCACCATCATTGCCAAGGGCTGGGTCAGGATCATTTTTCAGTGTATTTATTGTATCAGCAGATACAAAAGGAATATCTTGTGACTTCGCACAAATATTTTCAGCTTCTACTTTAGGCACTTCACTCAGTTCCTCCTTTTCATCTATCTCTTCAAGGCTGTAATCAGAGCTTATTCCAGCTACAAAGAAATGCAGATATAATCCTAAATATTAATTTGCCTCATTCATCCTATGCAATTCTGGCAAGGAAAGAATTTTGAAAAATAATAATTAGCTAGACTCTTTTAAGTTCTGCTTCAAAAATAATAGTGAAGTTATTTCTCCTGGTGAGTAATCACGTTAACATGAAACTAGATTATCTCAGACTCATAATTCTCAAAACAATTTGCTATCACTCTAGGTTTTATTCATGGTAGAAACAAACGGTTATTTAATCTCATAAACTTCAAGCTAAATATTTCCTTTAAGAAATGTCTTTCAACTGGATGATTTTTACACTCATCCAACAACTAATAGTGCAAATTAAATGCAAATTAATAATTTTAAAAATGAAAATGAAAAGCACATGAGATTTCTGTATTGTCTACAAGGGCACCCATAAAATTTGACTCAATAGTTATTAGTACCAACTATACTTGATAATTGCTTGAGCCACCTTTAAAAATACTGAGCCTCACACCCTATTCCACAAAATCAGAATCTCTGAAGGGTGGGGCAAGGGACTTTTAAGCCTACTTAAATGATTCTACTATGCAATCAGAGTTAAAAGCCACTGACCTAGATGCTTAATATAATTTTTAAAAATACAAATAGAGCAAGTATTAGACAATGAAAATTAAGTTTTATTCCTACCCAGTTTGATTCTCAGAGGCATCTTGCTTTAACAGTTTTTCCTATATGTTCTGAGAAAGTGTAATATACATGCATATGCTGATAACCATACCCACGTTTCCTTTTCTTTTGTTAGTTTCTTTTTGATAGTTTATTTAATATAAATGCAAGCATACTGTAGCCACCTAGCTTTTTTCTACACTTACAATATCTTAAATATCATACATATTTATACATATGTGTGCATACATAAATATTTTCAATAGCTGTAGTTAATATTTCATTATATAAAAAATGTGTTTTATCACCAACAACCAATAGCCAGCAGGGTAAAAGAGAAGGAGGCATCCCTAGCAGTTAATGTTCATGCTTATTGACAAGATTAGCTGTGAAAGTAAATGCGAGCCAAAGAGTGAGGTTTTGGACTTTTGCTAAATATAATTAAACATTTCTATGTACACCATAGTATCTGAATGAAATTTAATTTTATCATAAGGCTGGGGGTGACGGGAGGGGCAGGGTGGGGAGGTGATATAGCATCAGATTATAGTAATCAGCACATCTACAAAATTTAAAATTTTAACATAGTTGAATATTTAAAGTACTTAAAGTGTATTTTTAAAATTTTATCCCTAGGCATATAGACAGAAAAGTGTGCCATTTGTGCTCTTTGAGAA